ATTATTAAAAAAGTAGAAATCTAAATAAATACTGCCTACTACAATTGGTCATCAAAAGTAAAATTGAAAAAAAGCGGCAATAGATGTAAGTCTTGGATCAAAATTACATGAGAATGGACTGAGAGACGAGAAGAATTTGCTGTAGTTATCGCCAATCTTCGATACAAGCACATGAAGAAAAAGAATGTAAAACATATTAGGGTTGTTAAAAAATCGTGGTGAGCATCCGGTACAAGTTTTACATAACTAATTGAGTCGTTATTACTCCCTGCATTTCAAAGACCATAAGTTAAGAGTAAGATGTTCAAAATATGCAAGTATTAATTGGCCACGCTCTATTTGCAATATTTTATCCCAGCCAGTTACTGCAACTAGGGAGGTCTGGATGTTATTTTTTCAGACTTTCCGTAAACCCGTGAAGTTTGTGATTACCATTAATATGCTGCAACATCAACGCAATTTGCTTCCGAGCTTTTTCATGTAATATCACCGCGGAAATTAAGTCGTGAGGGATAAGCGGACAATATGAAAAAATAAACTGGTCCGTCCTAACGATGTGTCATTACAACCGATAAATGGTAAATGCAAATTTGTATCGAACAAATTGAAGATTGAGAAAGATGGACGAAATAATTATGTTGAGAATGATCATTCGCTTGACAGGTTGAACATTTTTTACGAGTAGACGCGTTATACATAAACTTTTGTATGTCGTTATTACTTTGAATCATTAAAGTCCCAATAATAAACAGTCAAATCGACATTGACTCTATATTGGGAAAAATTTATATTAGGACTTGAAATAGTCCCATTCAAGAAAAAAAAAGCGGATCGCTAAGTATTATTTGTTGAAAAAACTTTAAATGTTTCTTAAAATTCATACGAAAAGTACCTTCAAACTTTGTGCTTCTCAGACACCACAATACTCTCATTGTGGTCTCGATAATTGTGTCTGAGTCTCCCATCTCCAGAATATGTAGTGTAAAGTGAATTTAACTATTAATATCGATTAAATCACCCTCTCTGAAGCCTCTAAAATGAGTACTTTAACTTCAATTACATAAAGTAAAATAGTTAAAAGGTTTTTGAGTAATTAAAAACCAGTTTTTGCTATAAACCATCACATCCTGTATCTGGAGAATGAATCATGTTAGCACGAATTCTAAAACACCCTGTATATTCACTATTTGTGTTCATCACTGGTAGGATCATCTTCAAAGTTGTATTATTTCTGGTTTATAATTATTATTCTCAATGTATTGAAAGCTCTTCTCCATCTCGAGTTGCAAAAATATGCAAAATGTGTTGAAATATGACTGGAGCTGGGCAATCAACACTATACTGTCTGATTCGAGGTTTATATTTCTTAAAAAGTGAAATACAGAATTTATAGAAAACTAACAGTCCAATTTAACTCAACTTAATAATAAGTTTACCGTCGACAAGCTGATATTTAGTACGGTATATATCCTAAGGACATATCATCCGAAAATAATGAAAAAATGGCACTCAGTTATTTCTTCTATTTTACAAATCAAGGGTTTAAATATGTTTGATTTGGAAAATTTGACCGGTTTTTAAGATCTGACGTAGACGGGAAACCCACCAAACAACACTATGCGAAGTTTAGCATAAATTAGTCACGCAATAGATTTGAATCTTAAAAATAACAAAAATTACTTCAAAAATCATTACTAGATTTCGACGAAAGCTTTCAAAAGAAAAATGGGCTCTAGATGTTAAAGAAATATTATTAATCTATTTTTTATAACTTTTCAACTAAATTAACTTCAATACAAATGAATATAATTACTACCTACGTTGTTTTAATAAAAAAATACTGAGTTATATCATGCTTTGAGCTTATAACTATTAACTATAACTACCGTGTATCTCCATGAAGAATTTATCTTTGAATGACCTCTAATGTTTTTTTTGTAATATGCCGCGATTAGCTGGACTAATCCGCAACTCATCGGTAGAACTGGCAACGTGGGCATTTTTTCTTCACTAGGGCACTTGCTTAACGAAACATATAGTAATAAATAAGCGGTAACTTGAACAGAATTAGTAAAGCCACATGTAAAGCAAATTCACGGTTTTACGGTAAAATCTAATTAATCTTTAATGTTGATTACCATCGCTTTTTGACCGTAAAATTACTTGCCGATGGCAATCATACGAGATGAGTTTATAAAATGATGATTCTGCATAACGCGGCGTCGAAATCATTTTAGCAAAATCGCCAATGCCTTCTGTCTAGATTTGGAGTGGGGTTCAATATTTGTTTTACACATGGCGGAAAATTTGATTATTTGATTATAGCTACAATCTCCTAAGTAGCTAGTACCCATGAGTACACAAATGCTCTTAGAAAGACCACGGCATACAAGGCGCAATTGATAGGGAGGGGGAGGCATTTTCTATAAAGGTTGTATCTAAGACGCTTCATTAAACACATACGTGAAAAACTACACTGCCCGACAAAAAATTACGTCACCCTAAACGTTTAGATAAGTTTTATGGTTCACAACTTTCTTTATTTTTCATCGGATGATTTTTTTACAACTTAGTGAATCCATTTATCTCAATGGTTTTTTATTTTATTAACTAATTTTCTTCGTTTTGGGCAGTATCATACAGGGTAAATCAAAATGTTGTTTTATCTCATGGTTTTAAAACACCCTGCGCTAAAACTAAGTGTATTTTGTGTATTTTAGACCTTTTATTTTTTAAAATCGTATCACAATCTCATTTCTTTTGAGTGTTATGTTTATCATGACATGGAAGTTTATTTAGGTATCATTAAGAAAAATAAATTTTATATGATAAGAAGCAAAAACAACAATTATAAATTTAACAGGGTAATATTTCCACCTCTTGCAGCAATTACGGCTTGTGGTCTGATTCCTCCATCAACACCAGGTGTTAGTCCTACAAAGTTTGTGGTTGCACAGGGTGTCGACATACGGCTATTTTAATTTCTTTCCAACGATGCTCAATGGGATTGATATCCGGAATACATGCTGATCAATCTAAACTTGGCAATCCAACTAAATTGATTCGAAATGAATGGCGCAGTCGGCATATATTTCATTTAAACGTCATCTGCGAATAGTAGTTTTTTCAACTCTTTTACATCTAGTCAGACAACAATCTTGCAAATCTCAATCCCTGTTGTCGATGTCCGTGAATGAAGCTCTGCTTCTACCAATCTTGTATGTACCGTTGCTATTATAGAAGCGGTAGTAGATCTTCGCCTAGTAAAGTTTCCAGTCCGTTATTATAGCAATACTGTCACCGTGAAACATGCTGTCGCAATATTCACTTCGTCATTATTTTTAACATAACATAAACATGCACTTTCCAAGAAATATAGTAACATTGTCAGCGTCTCATTTAAAAATTTTCGTTTCATACAAGGAATGAGATAATGGTATTAGTGGAAAAACAAAACATTTCGGATACGTAAAATAATGTAGTGAACAGTTTGTAAAACAAATTATCTTGCTCAGGATGTTTTGAATCTCTGACGCAAACCAAGATTTTGATTTATCCTACTAAAACGACAAAAAAAAACTAAAGGGATATACTTAATGGCAAAAAAATTAATGAAAATCGGATAAAGAAATTTTTCAAAGAAACTTCCACGGGCTACCATAAAAGTATTTACAAACATCTGGATTCATCCTGCGTCGGTTGTTGATGAATCGAACTTGCTGATGTTTCACCAATCATCCTGTTGGCTTCTTCAGAGCTTAACTGAAACTGGTGCAGAAACAGGAGTATGCAGAAGGAATCCAGAATATTTGTAAATAATCAAAATAAAAAAGGTATAAACTAAAACTTCTAAAATTTTTGGGTGGCGGATTATTTGCCGAAAAACACAAAACAAGTGGGAGAAAAAAGTTGAAAATGGCATATGACATACAAATGTTGTCCATTACCGGAAGTATTTTTCTAAAATTTGGATGGGGCAGATTCCTACTATTGTCTATGTTTATGAAAACCCGATTTTATGAAAATAAGGCTGCAGCACGGAGACCCACCTTTCTGCTTATTTGTGTTGCATTATTTACCAATTTACCAATACCAATTTCATTATTGTATTTTGTAAGTTCCAAATCTTTCCGTTTTTATGGAAAGGGATTTGTTTTATTTTGATTGGTAATGTTGTTCCAGAATTATCAACCAAGTCCAAATTAATTTTGTTCCATCAATAGTTAATTCCAAACGAATTAACACATAAGCTGATGCAAATGGAAAAACTTCTTTTTACAGCGCCTATTAACGGAACGTGACATTTTCCAGATCTGTTACTTCCGGTGTCAAATACGTATTCGTATATTCAACTTCCCATTCCACTGCCAAACAACCTAAACACAACGACAATTTAATTATTCTCGTTATTTGCCCGACAAACTAAATCAATGGAATTTTGCCGCAAACTGAAGCACAAAGATAATTAACTGCAGCGTGGGTACGACTAATTTTATCGAATATCAGTCAAATTAATCAAAATTGTTACCGATATTGTCTCATCGAATATGCGCACAGATGGATCTCGATATTTGTGATTTGACAGTGACGTTGACGGCTGGTAGTATACTAAAAACCTCACTATAGACTATTTCAGAAAAGTGTGGAGTAATAAAATGGGAAATTCCGTCCAGTTCTGTTCAATTTAGGTGTCCGATATGAGATGTATATAGTATAGTCCGGCACACGATAAATATTGATGACAGTATTAATTGTATTAACGCTTTTATCTGCTCGTAGGCATTTTTGGTCCAATAAATCAAACTGATCCAGGGTAGTAGTAAGGATATGAATAGATTATGTTTTATTGCGTATTGCGTATTGCATAATCGTAATAATATGCATATTAAATAAAAGTAGCATACCCAATTTTTTTTTAAATTATTTTCCGCCTCAAAGCACCACTACTATAAGTGACATGAGTTCAACTCCAAGTTTTTACAGTTTTTTGCTTTGTACAGGTACTCACAAGAAAACAAAGAGTTTGAGTAGCGCAACAGAAATCGACACGGACGATACCGAAAGCAACAGCAGCAGTATCAGTTGCGATTCTTTGAATAGTGGCAAGTTATCGCCTCTTGCCAACAAATCTGCATTGCGTCTCTCTAAGGACAAGACTTCTATCCTGCCTCAGACTTTACTCCAAGATATTCGAGAGAGAAATCATGTCAAAGGTGAGATGCATAATGATAATTACGAATAAATAAGGTGTTACGTAAATAGGTATATTTACGTCGGAGCCGATGTCTGTAATTAATAGGCGCTAGAAATATGTCACGCATTGAGATACTGTATAGTATAGAAAATGATTTTTTTTGTATTTAAATCGTAATTAAATCAATAAATTTAAGGAATATTTTTGCTGTTGCATAAATGAATAACTTATGTTAAAATTAGACCGATTTTAACATTTTCTTTTTAATTGATTTAATTAATTGGAGCACTATTATTATATTTGATTGACTAATTGGCATTCAATTACAAGATTTTGTTTATATCAACAGTAGGTCACGTTCGGATTAACTTAGTGGCAGTGAAAACAAAATGAAATAAATAAAAGGATTTGAAAGTCAAATCGCTTCGATGCTATTAATTTCCATTCTGAATTTTGTTCTAATTAATTTAATTTGTTTTTGTGATTAGTGAAACGCATAATTCTAAGAGATTCCGTTTTATGGTTTAAAGCACTTAGAGAAAAATCGCCAATTACGGAGACGAATTTAATTGGTGCAAGAATTTTTTTTGTCTTTAGTCTTTAACTTTAATGATGTGGGTTATTTGTTATTGTAGCTAGAGAACGCCAGAGAAACAAGAAATTAGGTCCCAATATTAATAAATTTATTTAGCACAGCACCAAAGCTTTTGTAGAAATATAAATATGATTTCGAAAACTAGACAAAACATATTTAAACTTTTGAATGAACTATATGCTAAAATCGATTCCAAAACATAGCTGGACATATTTATCTTGGTTGTATTAATTCAGATTCTATGAAGCTACTAACCAAAAATTACCATGAAAAAGCGATCAGTTAATTCGGTTCTTTGGCAACAATAAATGGATGATTGTGTTGCCCGTCTGTATCTGAGTTCGTAATAGTGGAAAAATTAGATTTGTGCTTTTTATTGAGCTTCGATATCTTATTTAGTAGGGTTGTGATATAATTTGTCTTATAGGAATTGAATCAAATCAGATCAATAGAGAAATTTTATCGTACTCTAGTAAGACGGAGGGGAAATATTGGTTATTTAAATTAATATTTTTTTCCGAAGGCGAAAAATTGATGGTTATAGATGATATGCTGATATTTGGGAAGGGATAAATTATTCGTTAGTAATTATACCAATAATACCAAACTAATTCAAATTCAAATTTATTGACTTATTTTTAACCCAGAAATGAAGGTGAACTTTGTTTATAGAAAATATAAGTCTTATTTAATTTTCGGATCACTAGCGCCAAAAATTTAAGGCATTTTTATTATCTGGACCAAACAAATATGATCTCAGAAATCAGATCGATCAATTTCACATTGGTTTCTTTTAAAGAGCGTGTCGGAAACTTATCTCGACGATACCTGCGTCATAAAATTGATAAGGTACTCTTAATGTTTTCATTCGTCACATCGGTACAGTCACCTCTCATTCCCGTAGCATTAATTGTTATTGCAAATAATTGTGAGCCAATAAAAAATGTTTTTTCGAAAATTGAGGAAGAGAACCAGAAAAGGTAATTCAATAATATAAATTCAAAATGTAATTTACGAATTGCTGCTTTTATAGCATTTAGCAACGTTGGAGATGCCTTTTTCTATTATCCATAGATCGCACTTTCCTTATTTTTATTTCCCGAGTTAGCCAGGCAGATCTGCCAATAATATTATCGCGATAGTCCTATCTTTCTTTAATTGTGGTTTTGATAATGTGGTTTTTCGTATTAAAAAGACAATTCTGCTTTCCATTAAAACTCACATTTTTTGTCCATTTTCATATCACATCTCCCAAAACTAACGTGTTATTATTATCCGAGGTAGTATCTAATTTTTACTGAAAAATTTAAGTACATTACTTTTACCGAGAGTCTGGATGACGAATTGTTTTTGAAATACAATACTTTGAACTCTAATTTGACCACGCTGTACATGCCGAGGCATTGCTTTAATCGGCGCATGTCCGTGAAATGCAGAGGTGTTTAATGCTTGCTAAAACACTTTGGTACAGCCGTTGTAGTATAAAAATAACCAACAAACATCAAACAGAAGAATACAAAACAAAAAACTTATAATAACTAAATAACTGTAATTATATTTATTCTAATATATTGAATGTTTTCATCAAAACGGACACACAAAATTTTGAATTTCTGAAAATCTACAAAATACCTATATCGAATGGCCATTTCTAAAAATCTTCGATGATACGCTCTGTCGTAATCATACGGTTTTTTTTAAGTCTAATATATTTTCGAAGGTCGGCGCGCTTCAAAAAATATTATCTTAATATTTTAATGCAGATAACGATTCGATTCTAATTTATAACCCATTATTTTCAGACCCTTGCAACGGTAATCATATCGTCGACGAAAAGTCGTACGAGGATAGGCAGAAGGAGTCCAAAATCGAGCTCTGTACGGAACCGATCAATCCCGACATGTTCTACAAGTTCCATTTGAACGAGAAAGATCCCAGCGATATCGTTGTGCCCTTAAATTCGGTAGTTGAGGATGAAACATTTGCAGGCTACAAGGACTTCTTGGACGACGGAGCAGCGACCATACGAAGTGCCAGAGGAACCGTTCGAGGAGTGAAGAACCGCGTAAGGGCCGGTATTGCCACCTTTTTGCAGATCAACACCACTGGAAAGGTGAGTCATACTACCGGCTATAGCCTGTGCTGTCAGCGAAACAGGGTCATAAAGAAGCATTTATTTTCATGTTTATGATTTCTGTTTAAAACAATCTATATTCCACTTCTGGCGCGGAGTAATAAATAATAATAATAAATATATAATCCTCGTTATACATGCCAAACGACAACATTACAACCCAACATTAGAACCCAACCCAATTTTTTTTTTAATTTTATCAGTTGCAGTTCCTCACTACAAGTTAGATAAATGCTTTTAGCACAGCAAGTAATACGACATTTACTCTTTCAACTACTCCAAAGTATACATATTTTTATGTACTTTTTGGATAACTAATATTACGTTTTTGTATTTTTACAATATTTTAATAGTTTTTTTTCATCGATTTGATTTATTTTAGTTCTGTCCGATAGCTTGGTCACAACTAAACGGTCTATGCTATACCAAGTAGTTTGCCTATCATTATCAGTTAAAAAATTCTGGATGTGTGTTGAATGCAAAAGGAAACGAAATTTTATTATAATTTCATTTAATGTGTTACATTAAATTTAACATTTACGGATAATAAAAATTATAGATAGATGTATGCGTAAGAAATGGCAAAAACAAAAGTTGCAGGGTTTATTCCTAACCTCAACCTTCTGTTGAAATATACCCTACATTTACTATTTTTGATATAACACTGTTTAATGTTATCTCCTTGTGCACGCTCCATCAAAATTCTAGGGTGGCCAGCCCCTTTTTAAAATAACAGTAGTACTAGACTAACCATCAGCATTTACGTATTCTACATTTAACCTTTTTTATTTTAAAATAATCCTTGAAAGTGTGTGTGTTTTATTACGAAGGTATCCGTTATATTATACTTTCTTTAATTTAAACTATCCTCGGCATATATAAAGGTGTCTTTGTTTGATTTTTTATTTGATTTTCTATTCGATTTATAAAATGTACGTATTTCTAAGGTCATGTACACCATTAAACAGGACCGATTACCTTTTCTGTCTTAATTTTTGCTATGCGTATGTGAAAGAATGAATACTCGTTCATTTAAAGTTACGTTGATATCGTTTTTTGTGTTGTTCATTCATATTTACTATCTCTACCATTTTACAACTACATTGTGTTGATATACATTGACAAAGCAATATATTTTGTCGTTCTAAATTATCACCGACTTCCAACTCTTTAAACGTGGTGATGCTCAGTGTGGTAACAGTTTTGTGGATCCTCTATTTTGAGTTCATCTAATACTAAAATTACTCCACGGGCCTCTTTAATTTATTTTAGTAATAAATATTGCAATGAAGTAACAGCGTTCGTTTAAATTATATTTTGGTCCAAAATTTTTCATGGCACCAAGGTTACGAAAATGGCATTTATTTCAATATGATATGAATATGAAGATATGATATTTTTTATATTTTTTAAGTTAATATGCTTGAATGAAAAATCACATGGCAAGTCATGCAAAGTAAGCTAAACCACAATAACAATTTTAAATAACTGTATGGAACTAATGAAAATAAAAAGTAGATTAAGTAAATTACGATTCTCTAGCAATTTCCACTTAAATCGCCCCCGATGCACGACTACATTCAGAAGTCATTTCAGAAATTACAATCCTTACGTTACGTAGTCCATTTTTGAAGCTTATGAGTATATGATTCTAATGTTGCCTATTTTCGGCCATCCTGCACTTTTTAAGCGAAAGGATAATTTTGGTATTAATTACAAATTTGCCTTTCTCAAAATCTATCCGTCTTAGCAACGGGAAGACCTGCCAACCCAGCCGAAAGCTACGTAAAGGTAATTGCGCAACTTCCTGTCACTAGGCTCCGGGTTATTTGGACAATACGTCTGAATCGTAGCTGCCAACTTAATTTTCTCGTGCTCGAACGCCCGGGCGCAATCGAAAGGCGACCAAAAAAAGTAAAAGGCAATTTTCAATTTCAATTTTATTCATTAACTAGAAAATGTATGCACGTTGGAACTCCGTCTGATGCACAAAATGCAAATTCAGTCAATCGAAAAAACAAAGCACGATCTTATACGGATCGAAGCCGTATGGTCGAAACAAATGAATTTCGCCCGTGAAGCAAAATGAAGGTGTATTTTCTAAGGAATGAAGCAGACGAATTTTAACGTGTCGGTAGAGGGCGTGGCAGTGAAAGCGGGTCAAATAGCACGATTCGAAATTTGTTAACAATTATTTGCTCGTTTTACTTTTTTGTTCGAATTGTTATGGATTTTTTCACCTACTAGTTAGCTTTTAAATCTTGTGGTGAGTATTTTGGTTTTGGTTTAAGTATAACAGATTTTCGATATCTAGCAATTGAACAAACTCGTCCAATTGAGTTAAAATGATTATTAGCTGTGTTCTGCAAATAAAATATCCGAATATGGTCAAAAACTTCAAAAAGTGTTGTCGTGTTTCCTGTTGTGCAATTACTTCGAAAAATAATCCAGACCGAATATATGTTGGTAATCAGTGAAATTTAGTGCAAAAAAAAAGGTTTGCTGCAGCAATAGGAAGTACACAAATACATACTAGGTAATGTTGCACCGCCGATGAGGCCCGATATCAGGAAGACATGAGAAAAAGTATGCCTCAGTTGAGTATTCATATACCAACAAGAACCAGGAAAATTCCAGTAATAATGACTAAAAGTGCTGATGATTGATGGAAGGCCAGCTAAGTACATTCTTATTTCCTGATCCGTAGGCGTAAAAAGAAACAGTAAATACTATTTAATTCCGAACCAGTAGAAGCTTACCCAACGTAAAAAACATCCTCGGAAATTAGAGCAGCAATCGACATTCGACTTGTTCGCCAAATCCAGTACCTACATTATATAAAGCCGTTCCTACAGAACCAGACAGATGATAAAAAAATATAAGTAGAGCGATGGTGGTGGCATAGAACTAGTGGAAGATAAAAAAAAATAAACAAACATACATTCGTATAGAAAAACCTGGTGTTGTGGGTTTACGAATGAAAAAATCTAAATGAAAAATTTTAAATACAATTTAAATCTACGAGTCTATCGCGAAAATTGCTGACTTAATTGTAATATGAAGACTTGTGAATTTTTCGAATTTTCTAATATTAATACTTAACTTGTTTTATTGCTAATAAAAACGCGATCTTATAAAGTTAGGAATTATAATACAGAGCGTTTCATAATAAGATGCCGATACTTAAAAATGTTGACATTTATAAAAGAAAAAAGAATAAATTACATTTTTAGAATACCTTTGTGCCTTTGAACCAAAGTTAAATAGTCGTAGTTTGCTATTCAATATGGAGAACTACAATTAAACATTGTTTATATGCACTGCGGGCCGCTACCAAACAAATCAACAACATTTGCTTATTATAACTAATATTTCTGCAGGTCCTGTCTGGCTGAAAGGTTTCGATTTGAGCGCCGGCGTCAAGACCAATGAGGGAGCGAATTTGAATTGATATGCACATTCCTTTCCGTTTTTTTTTTTCACTAAAATTGACGCATAAAAAAACATTAATACTATATCTATAACATTCTAACAATAATGTGATGAAATCTAATTTTATTATGCAGAATCTCTTGCTCGACTTGATATTTAAAGTAAAAAAGTACAATTAAACTCCGTCTGCGGAAGCACTCAAAAGTTTTAAATTTAAATAACACCAGCACTATACACAGTTTGGCTAATTCGTGGGACTCAAAATTTTGAATTTTTATTACTTTTAATCTCCTACGCTTTGAATAGACTGAGATAATCTCAGTTCTGTTCACCATGAAAATTTGTGAGGATTGCATTACTAAAAGGGTAGTTCGAAGCAACCTAAACTGGTGCATTGGTAAATACCGAGCAAAATGGAAATGAACCATACTGACTCTATGAGTCCATAATAAACACTTTCATAGAGTAATAGTAAATCCATAATGCAAATTAAAAGATTCTCTACGCTTCCTGCATTATTTTTTCCACTCAAAAATTTATCCTCAATACGATCTATCCAGTGAACGGTAAGCTAAAAAATCGATAAGACATCGTTTATAATCTCGCGTTCAAATATCGATTATGTCGGGCAGCTTGCAAATAAAATTAAATAAACGTCGTAGACTAACACATTGTAAATTATATTTACTGAATAATGCATTCTCTTAATAATTACTTTGGCTTTCGCTCGGAGAATTTATATTGGGAATGCTTATAATAATTACGTTCGCAATTTTGAAAAACTTACTCATACTTGCGCAATATTAATTTATTTTCCGCATTGGATAAACGAGATGGATTGCCAATACGTCGAATTATATTGTTTGCTTCGCTTGTTAAAAGATGAAATCCCATTACGCCCCACATTACGACAAAAAAGAAATAGCGAAATCTGCACTCCGCGACCTGAAGACAAAAGGCATTTGGAATATTTTAATGAACGCTATCCATATTTTTTCTCATCGCATTCGAAACACCGAAAGGATATTTTAAATTAAAAGTAGAATCCCCGCCTCGAGCTTTTGTCAGTTTTGATTAAAAATCTCGAAACAGTGTTTGCGATGGTCCAAAGGGATTTATGCTTGCATGTTTCATTCGAAAGGGTGTGAATGAAATATGTCCCTTGTCAACGCAAACCTTAGTATTATCTGAGATATTTAAGTGCCTGGAGAGAGTTGTGAGAGCTGTAAATTTTATCTCCAAAAACATAATATATGCCGGCCATAACATTAAATAATATTAAATATTTTATTATGACTAAGTTTTACTAGTTTCCCGATAACGAGGGATTTTTACAAAATTTAATAAATCTGAACAAAAGGGCAGAGTTGATATTAAGCATAAAAAATGATTTTTGAAGTTTGCTTAAGCATTTTCCAACCAAAACTAAAACCTAAAAGCATCTAAAAATGTCAAAAAGTATGAGACGTTATTATACGTAACTTTGTTTATTTTTGTTTTTCCAAATTTGTGGAATATATAATTCGCTTAAATTTTATTATTTATTT